GCAGCTTAGAGACAGAGCAAAGCAAGGCGCCAAGACCATTGATTAGGGTTCAATTGTTTTATCATGCTTTTAGCTACAGGCTTACTTCATACTCTCTTAATCTGCTAACAATTACCAACAGGTCATTAGCAAAATTTTATGGAAAGGAGTTTCAAAACATCTCTAACAGAATCCTCAAAACAAAACAAAACAAAACAAAACAAAACAAAACAAAACAAAACAGAATAGCTTGAATGTGGCTTCCTTTACCCCTTAAAAAGAAAGTATAGGAAAGACTGTGTCTTAATTAGGTGTTAGCAAAAGGTGAAGTGCCAAAAAGGAAGAGTGCAGTTTCCTATAGATGATAAAGGATAGCTGATTTCAGAAATATTTACATGAAAAGGTTACAGCTGTGATTTATTAACACTGCAACGCCATTTAAATTTTTAGTTTTTTATGGATATAATTGACATATAACACATTAGTTTCAGGTGTATGAAATAGTGATTCGATATAAATATTTATTGCAAAATGATCACCAGAATAATTCTGGTTAATATCCGTCACCACACATAGTCACAAAATTGTTTAAAAATTTATTTAACATTCATCACCTTTTCTTAGGCATTGATGCCTCTTGCCAATTAAAAAAAAAAAGACTATTGAATTCAATTTGTAGTAAAGAGATTTAATCAAAAAATTTCACAGACAATGGAGGCTATTTACTCTGGGACTGATCATATAAATTTACAAATTATACACTGGCTGTATCCCTCAACTGTATTTTTCTTGCCTTCCCCTATTTTGAAAATAAACAAATTTTATTAATTTAGTAACACTGGAAAGAATGCTAAGGCTCCCAGATGTTACCTTAGCCTTTCTCAAATGCAAGACTTTGAATCTCTTAAGTTAATTACTTCCTGCCTTAGGAATAAAATATTAAGTTGACGAAATACCTCAGGATATATAATTTTTAAATTACAAATGTTAAATATATGGCATATAGAAATATCATATAATACTATTTTAAAAATGATAAATAAAAATAAAACAGAACTGACAACAGACCTCACAAGACCAGCAAAAATAGCTCATCTATTACAAGTTCTACCCAAAGGCAATGTTATGTAAATTCAATTTATAGGTCCTGGATAGCTTCCCCAATGTTGGCCTCTCAAAAGCTTTATACTGATATTTTTAAGAAACTAGCAGCATACTTCACCTTGGAAAAGTAATTTTATAAAGACACTGCCATTAGTGATTTTATGTACTTCCATATACCCTTTCTGAATTTGAAATAATGGAGAAGTTCAGGCAATAATTTTTGTTCTCTTTCAAATTTTATGACTAAAATATTGAGTTGTGTTTTATGGCCTACATTTATTATATTCTGTAGAGTCTGTCAGCAGCTTTAGGCAAAGAATACCTTTCGAGTCTGGAATCAGATGCAAAAGAATCAGAGGTTGAAAATGAGAAATCATGTATTCCAGAAGCATAAGAATTTTCCAGAGAGTCTGAAATTCAACTAAATACTGCATATTGTGTAATATATGAATAATAATTTTCCAATCCTCTGTCCAATCTTTCTTTCTTTCTTTCTTTCTTTCTTTCTTTCTTTCTTTCTTTCTTTCTTTCTTTCTTTCTCTTTCTTTCTTAGGATAATTTTCTCTTAAAGAATGGGCCAGGATTATTGCTATAAAATGTCATTTCCTCCAGAGCAGTTTTGGTAGGTTTTTTGGAGGAAGAGTTTATTTAGCAAACTGTACACTGACAATGTTAAGGACTTTTTAGTTATAAGGAATTTTAACAAGGTTGCAGGAATTATCCAGTCTCATTTTCTAAGAGTAAAGCTGGAAGAAATTTAAACAGTGGTAGATTAAATAACAAGTCTATATTTTACACAACAGAACAAAGTTTTGAAACTTCCTTAAATCGTTTTCTTTTTAAACTAGGTTCTCATTTATTTATTTTTTTTTACTTTTTTTTAACGTTTATTTATTCTTGAGACAGAGACAGAGCATGAACGGGGGAGGGTCAGAGAGAGAGGGAGACACAGAATATGAAACAGGCCCCAGGCTCTGAGCTGTCAGCACAGAGCCTGACGTGGGGCTTGAACTCACGACCGCAATATCATGACCTGAGTCGAAGTTGGACGCTTAACCGACTGAGCCACCCAGGCTCCCCAAGGTTCTCATTTTAATGGACTAAATACAATTTGTTAATATCACTTGTTTAAAGAGAATAAGAACTGGGGAAACTGGGTGGCTCAGTCTGTTAAGTGTGGGACTCTTGATTTCTGGTCAGTGTCGGGTCATGATCTCATGGTTCCTGGGACTGAGCCTCTCCAGGCTCTGTGCTGACAGTGCAGAGCCTGCTTGGGATTCTCTCTCTCCTTCTGCCCCTCTCCCCATCTTGTGCTCTCTTTCTCTCTCTCAAAATTAATAAATAAACATTAAAAAAAAAAAATGAGAACTTGACTTCTACAAAAGAAAGTGATAAAAAGAGCAGGATTCTAACCTGGATCTAATTCTGCTGAACTCCTAACTCTCTGCATGTCCTAGGTCCTACAGCCATCTGTCAGTTTAGTTTTTAATTTTAAAATTTTATTTAAATATAAATTAGTTAACAGACAGTGTAGTATCGTTTCAGGAGTAGAACTCAGTGATTCATCACTTACAACACCCAGTGCTCATTCCAACCAATGTCCTTTTTAATGCCCTTCTTTAATCCCCCCACCCAACACGCCTTCTCCAGGAACCCTGTTTGTTCTCTATATTTAAGAGTCTCTTAATGGCTTGCTTCCCTCTGTTTTTATCGTATTTTTCCTTCCCTTCCCCTTTGTTCATCTGTTTTGTTTCTTAAATTCCACATATGAGTGTAATCATATGATATTTCACTTTCTCTGACAGCTCTCAGTCACTTTAATAAACTTTGGTTTCTTTACCAAAATGTGAGGCTAACCCTTAATCTGGGTGTGGTGAGATAATAAATGAAAGTATTTTTGAAAAACATATTGTTCTATTGTAAGTTATTATTGATTAGGGAAAAACACATGCCAGGCAAACTTGGTTTTCATGGTAGTAGAAGTGTCATGGGCTAACTAGGTAGTAATTGAGGCTTATTTTATGGTTTTAGCATTCTCTAGTCTCAGAGTCTACCCGAAAATGTTCAGCACCAGGGACTGTCTTTACGTTTAATTTGGCTAAGCACATCTACCTTCATTTTGAGCACTCACTGGCTACTATTGATAGTGGTAACTAAAATCTGGTTAGAATATCATAAAAATCATGCAGTATAAAATAAGTTCCATGACACTACTGAGGCATTTGAGAAATCATTTACTTTCTTAGAAGTCAGGTCAAGAGCAAAAACAAAATTATCAACCTCAATTTTTTTCCCTCTCAAGTACATAGAACAAAAGCAGTGTTCTCTTTGAATTAGATTTCTTTTTTGAAGAGGTTTGTGGTTAAGTTTGTTTTACTCTGTTTTACATAGGGAACCTTTGTTGGCCTTCAAAGTGTAATTTACCGATGTAACTGATGTATTTCTGCCACCGATCAAACAAATACATGTGACGAAACGTATGCATACTTATTTCAGCCTCTGAGATTTATCTTTAAGTTATTCTGCTTGGAAGCTGGGGGGAAATATGAGGTCACTTCTTTCCCCTCTGCCAAAGGCAAGCTCATTTCCCTAATCCACACGGACAGTTGAGCAGTTAAGTAGCGCGTTAGCGTACGTGAGTCCCCCAGACCGTGTCTTGCCATCAGCGGGCACACACGCATTCACCCTAGCCCCCCGGTTGGGGCCACAGTCCATCCGCAAGGCTTCTCCAGTCCGGCTACGCAGATTATGCTGACGGTGTAGCTATCCCGTGTGTCTGCCGCATCTGCCCACTGGCTAGAGAAAGAAAGAACGAGTATTCGGTCGAGCGTAAATAGCTGCTTTCACCCACTGCCCCCCTAACATGCACTGTACTCTTCTCCCCACGTGCGTTCACACACACACACACACACACACACACACACCTCTCTCTCACCTGCACTCACACACGTGCGCACCGTACCTCGCCCAGCCGCAAGCCGGGACACGTCGCCCGCGCACCCCACCTCCCGGGCCCTGGCTCTGCGGCCTCTCCCCATCCACCCGCACTCCACGTGGGCGCACCCCGGCGCCAGGCGGCGGCTCTGCCCACGGAGCCCCTCGCCGGCCCCCGGGGTGGGAGGGAAGGCGCGGCCCCGGGGTCGGACGGACAAAGCGGGCGTCCAATCGAGCCCCGCACTGCCTCCCCGAAGGGAGGGAGCGGAGGCTCGGACGGGCCCAATGAGCGGGGAGCCCGAGTGGGACTTCCTCCCGGAATCCCGTTGGCCAGAATAGCGGGGCCGTGGGTGACACGTAAGTTGGGTGGGAGGCGGCGGCGGCCGAGGTTGGGCAGCCCGGTCAGTGACACCGGCCCGCCGTCCCCCCAAACCCAGAGGGGCCAGCCGGCCCCCGCCCCTCCACCGACTCCGGCGGGCCGCGCGCGGAGGCGCCGCCTGGAGCCGCGTCCTTTTGTTGGGCGCGTACCCCCTCCTTTTGGTGGCAACAAAGTCGCGCAGCGGGAGCCGCCGCGAGGGGGCGGGGAGCGGCCGGGGCGGGACTCCGAGCGCCGCCGGGGGCAGCCGAGCCAAAAAGTGGGGAGGAAGAAAAAAGGCAGGCGGCGTCTGGGGACCGGCGCGGGCACGGTCCGCTCGGAAGTATGCGGAGGGGCCCTCGCCGGGCCCGGGCACTCGCGGAGAGCCAGCCTCGCAAAAGTTTGGCTGCCGCTGCCCAGGCGGCGTCGATGGCTGCGCGCCCCACGGCGCGCGGGGGCTGAGCGGGCGCCACTTCCCCTCGGGCCCCGCTTTTGTGTCTCGCGTCTCCTCCTCATGCTGCGTCCGGCCACCTCCTGCGGCGGCCGCTGCTGAGACGCTCGCTCCCGCAGAGGGGAGGAAGGGACGGCGGCGGCGGGGGCGGCCGCGGCGCGGGGTCCAGGCGGGACTATGGGAAACGGGATGTGCTCCCGAAAGCAAAAGCGGATTTTCCAGACGCTGCTGCTGCTGACCGTGGTGTTCGGCTTTCTCTACGGCGCGATGCTCTACTACGAGCTGCAGACGCAGCTGCGGAAAGCCGAGGCGGTGGCGCTCAAGTACCAGCAGCACCAGGAGTCCCTTTCTGCCCAGTTGCAAGGTACGGTTAACGGGACGCGCGCGGCCGGTGGCTAACTTCGCCCCGCGCCTCCCGCCCCGGCTGGAAAAGTGGCTTTGGGGAAACGTTGGCCCTGCGGATGCCACCGCTGACCATCACGGACCTCAGAGTTGAGCCCTGCAGGGCCGCCCGGGTCCTCAAAGTGTCAAGGGAGATGACATCCCCATCCTCCCGCTTCCTCCGGCGGATACGTTTGAAATTGGTCGCTCAGAGGCTGGTCCCGCTGGGCGTTGGATGGGCCGGCGCACACTGAGCGCTTTACCCCAGTCCTTGTCAGTGGCCCAGCTGGAGTCCGGGCAGACCGACCAATAGCCCTTCCTCCGTGTCTGCCAGCCCATCCCGGAGAGGCACGGTCCTGGTTTGTGGGTATTTGCTTTGCAGTTGCCCTTGTCAGTAGTCTAAGAGATGGAGTTTGGCGGTGATTTCCCAAACCATGTTGTTTTTTCAAGGGAAATTTAGCCATGACCTAGCAGCCCAACTAAAGGCCCAGTAGAATGGAACCTGGTGGTTTCTATTAATTTAATAGGGTGACTTTAGAGATGTTGGAGGTATTGGAAAAGTCCACACTGCCGCTGTTCACCATCCCCCAGATATGTTTTGGAGGGAAAAAGTTTGTCTTCCTGCGAAACATTTAGTTTAATACAGAGATAGGTAGGCGTGTGTGTTGGGGGTGGGGGGTGGGGGGTGGGAGGTGGTACTTTACAGTTAGCTTTGAGAAGTCCAAGGAGAGAAATAGAATTTTTCAGTTTATCAGATACAGTAAACACAACTTGAGCAAGACGTGCAGAAAGATTTAAAGTTTCTACCCTTCTATTTTAGAATCTCCTTTAATGTAAATTTCAGAAACATAAATGATGCATGACTGCAAAGTAAGCGCAATGTGGCCTTAGAGCATAGTCATCCTGTATATACTTTTTGAAAGCTTTTACTTGTACTTGTGTGTAGTTTTCGATACTTACGTAGTCCTCTCCCCAAGCAGAAAATAATAGTAGAAAGCTGTGAGCAGTGAAATGTTGACAGTCTTTGCTGATGATGCAAATACAGCTAATTTCGTATTACTGGGAAAATATAAGCTGGATGGATGTTTCTGTCAGTGTATGTGTATATAAATATGAAACAGATGCCTTTTCGTGGCTTCAGCTATTTTGAGTGTTTTCTAGTAAAAAAAAAAAAATTAAAACGAGAGAAAAGGACATGCAGCTGATTGCTTGGTCTTATTTTCTCTTCCCAACTTAGAAGAAAAGGAATTATTTTTAGCTTACTGAAGCTGCATAGCCACAGGCAGTGAAAATATGTGAGCTGGGTTTGGCTCAAAAGGAAAACCTGTTTTGGTGCAGACTTGGGCTAAGAAAATTTTTCTTTAAACTTGTTGGTATTTACCCATGACTTATTGTTGGTGTATGAATTCTGGATATTTATGTATTTACTTAGAAGACATCAGTGGCTTCCTGTGAAGTTCAGTGCAGTTAGACAAAGGGGGAAATTTATGATCTAATACTACAAGGGCAGGACTGGATTTTCACACATGTGGCTGGAAGGGGCATGTGTGGTGGATTTTATGAGGTTGTTACCTTGGTCTCTTAGCTTAGGAGACCCATGTGAACATACACTGTCAAGTTAACCAATACCTCCTCAGCACTGCACGGTGCCTGACGTTCATGAGGGGATCAATATATATTTATTCAGTCAACAAAGGAAATTATTCTGAACAGTAGTGAGAAAGTTAATCCCATGCATTTTTGTCTGCCCTCTCGGCCTTCACTTCCCTGTCTGTGCTTTTTGAAACAAAACAAAAGAAAACAAAACAAAACAAAACAAAGTAACCAAACATTTTGCCCAAGCCCAAGGAGAGCATTTACCTTCGCAGCCAAAGCTGGAACTGATTGACTGAGGCCCTGATTTCTGAGTCATGGCCTGTATTTGCAGTAGTTAGTTTTGAAAATCAATCTCAATTTCTTTTCTCCTTTTATTGGCTGCCTTTTGGTGAAAGTTGTGGAGGAGAGTGGTGGTAAGTGGTGATACAAGGCCATTCAAATATACAACATTTGTTTTGCAGTAGGAGATGAAAGAATGTAGCTAGTTTGAGTAGCTTTAAAGTCTATTTCTTAATGTACCCTTTTGCCATTTCCTCTTGAATTGTGGTGCTGGAACAATTACAATATGATCATCCCTGAAGCATTATTTCCCAGGCAGGCCACATGATTGACTCCTATAGCGTTTATTTTGGATTTCACATCTGCAGGTCATTTAATGAAGGTTTTCTGACGTTAGCATCTTTTGCTTCCCCAATGACAAATGACATTTCACTCAGCAGCGCTCTGTTGTACCACCTGCATAGATTTGTTTTGAGGGCGTTAGGCTCTCCATTCTCAGAACTTGTTTAGTTAAGTGAGATCTCTTGACCTGGAGTGGATTAAGATCAGAGTTAATTATGAGTGGCCTCTTTAAAAAGAAAAAAAATGACTCTTGAAATGTTTAAGTAGTTTGGCCCTATAATCTGAAGGTATACATTTGTTAAGTGAGCATATTTAGGTCATCTTCAGTTTAAGAATGGGTTGTACTCCAGAGATTATTTTGAAAGTAGGTTATGTCTAACTCAGTACATTTTGTAGTAGACCAGTTCCTTAAATAGGAGATGGTGAGGGGCGACCTGGGGAAAGTTCCAAGACTAGGCTACCTCCTCTCCGGTAAAAACAAATGTCCAAGTCTGCCGGCCTATGTATCTATTTGCTTATCTATCTCCCACTTACACCACACATCAATTACCTTGAGCAGTGGGGCAGAGGTTACATATTGGTGGCAGAGGCAGCAGTTAACAACCTTTGACCAGCACAATGTTTACTTAACCTCTTACATTTAAAAAAAAAAAAAAAAAACTGCTTTCAGGTGAGCCATGCACCATTCTCCGTGTCCATACACAGTGGTTCTTAGCTCTGACTGCCCATTAGAATCACGTGGGCAGCTCTCAGACCAACTAAACCACAGTCTGTGGGAGTGAAACCCCTATGTCGTTCTCCCCAGGTGATTACAATATGCAGCCAGGGTTGGGAACCACAGCCCTATTATCTTTTTTTTTTTTTTTTTAAGTTTATTTATCTTTGAGAGAGAGAAAGCATGAGTGCCTGTGAGGCTGAATGGGGGATAAGCAGAGAGGGAGGGAGAGAGAGAATCCCAAGCAGGCTCTACACTTAACAGTGCAGAGCCCAGTGCAGATACACAGTGAGATCATGACTTGAGCCGAAGTGGGACGCTCAACCGACTGAGCCACCCAGGTGCCTCCACATCCCTATAATCTTAAAACTGAGCTGTATCACACATTACTTTTCTGGCCATAAAGACACCTGAGGGTTTTGTTGTTGTTGCTTTTACCCAGAGCGTGTGATTCAGATACTAACCCTGCAACTTTCTGTGTGAACATGGCCCTCATTTTTCTTATGCAGTGGAGATTAGAATGACCTACTTCATCGGGATAATGTGAGGATGAAGTAATGAATCCTGTTAAGCTCCTAGGACATACTTGGCACATAGTAGGTACTGCTCATTAAAGATGATCTGTTATTATCGTCATGCATGGTCCCTGTTTGAGGTAGGATATTTCATTTCTCCTCTCCAGGTTTGTCATGGGTAAAAGTGTTCAAATTGGCAAAATCTGTTTTTATAATTAACTACCTCCTTTTATTGTACCTGACTGGACATCAAAGGAAACTGGTAAACGAACATAAATCCAAGTACTTTCCTCTGGAGAAGGGACCTTCACTGACAATTTAAACTTAGGAAATTAAAGTGGGGTTACTGATTAACTCCCTTCTGTGTCATATCAGATAAGAAGAAGGTGTAACTCCTAGTGGTAGGCAATAACCTTGTGCAATAGGATCTGGGACAGAGATAGAACTATTTAACTTTTTTAAAAATAGGGGCAAATAGCCCTTATTCCCGAAACACTGTGTTACATTATTGCAGTGATGGCAGGAAATCATCAAGAAAAGGTTTATATAATGTTTCCTGTTCTCCTGTTCCAGATGAGTATATCACAACTATTTAAAGTAAAAAATGTGGTGCTTCTAAGGCTCATATTTTTATTCAAGTTAGTTATTTCTTGCATTGTGTTCTCTTAACACAGGATGGCTTGCTAGCCTGAGCGTGAACAGATCACATTGGAACTGGTAACTTCTTTGTTTTCAGCCTACCCTGAATCTGCTTAAAAAAAAGACATCAGGCATGCCTCATGGGTGGCGAAGCCTTTGTTACGTCCACTTTCAGCCAGGTCACTTACCATCTCAAGTAGGGGTCCGTGAGTTACTGGTAGTCAGGCTCTGGGCTGATGGCCTGAGCCTGGATCCTGTTCCAGCATTGCTGTCTCCTCTGCCTCCTCCGCTCACTTCATGCTTTCTGTTTCTTCTGTCCCAAAAAAAAATAAAAAACGTTGGAAAAAAAATTAAAAAAAAAAAAAAAAAAGAATAAAAGTCTTCTTCAGCTCAGGCCCAGTCTTTATTTATTATTTCATCTCCAGTGCCTGGTGCCTGGCACTCAGAAGATAGTAGGTCTACACCTTTGTGGTGTTTCCTGTCTGCTTACTCAGTGCTTATTATGTGGTGGGCAGTGAAGTCTGGTAGATACAGGTTGAGGAGTCACAGCACTTGGGTTTCAAGTCTTGCTATCTTTTTTTTTTTTTTTTTAAATTTTTCAAGTTATTTATTTTTTGGGACAGAGAGAGAAGCATGCAAACGGGAGGAAGGGGCAGAGAGAGAGAGGAGAACAGAATAAGAACTAGGCTCCAGGCCCGAGCCATCAGCCCAGGGAGCTCGACGCTGGGCCCGCCGAACTCAATGATCATGCTAGATCGTGACCTGGCTGAAGTCGGATCAGCTGAACCGACCGCGCCACCAGGCTAACACATTATTTTTTTAACCAACAATTATTGAGTGGTTCCCAGAACTCAATAATTTAGACCCACAAGTGTGGGTTGTGTGTAGTTAGGCATA